ATTATATTAAATTTTCTATAACCATATGAAATCATTAAAATAATTTAAAACTCAAATATCTTTCAAAGTTATATTGAATACACCTGCTAGTTGTTAAGTATGAAAATCCTACAATTTATGTTTTATTCATAAAATTATTCATGCAACTTCTGGGTCTATGGGCTTTAAAAGGAAGAGACAGCCCTATAACAATCAAACCCGCATCCACAGCGTGGGCTGTTCTCGAAATTACGCACCGAGAATTCCTCCGAAGCAACACCAACGGATAAGTCGATATCGTCACCGTCACGATACACTTCGGAGATATGGACCCAAAAGAAGAGTACTTTGACGCTTACCCCTTGAAGTTGCCTGACACGTCCGGTTCTTAAGTAGCCGGAGATTGTGGATTGGTACTTGACCTTGTATGAGTCGATAGGGAACGAACACGTGGAGTTGAAGTAGACTTTGAAAAATCCAGTTTTTTTGTTTAGGTCGTACTTGACTACACCATGTGGTAAGATTCCTCCCGGTAAATTGTTTTTTTGGAGAACCTCGTAAGCACTTTGGTTTTGACCGGAGACAAATAAAGAAGTTGAGAAAATGAGGAGGAAACAGAGGACGAAAATGGACATTGTTGTGTCTTCACTCTGATTCTCTGTGTTTCTTAAATCTCTTTAGAAGTTGGTTTTGTGATCTTTGTGTTGTAGTTATAAGTAGAGAGGGGATTAGGTAGGTTTAGAGACGTTGTGATCGGACCGTGAAGAGAATCAAGGTCGAGATTTTAGCTGGTTTAGAGGTGATATGTTAAAGAGTAGACGAACGACGTCGTTTCATTCGATACAGAATAAAGTTTGATGTTAAATAATTTCATTAATTTCTTGACAGTTACATTACCAGGCTTTACATTTCTTTTGCGTTGAGCTTAGTTTTCGGATTGTTACAACAAGAATCCTTCTTCAAATAATTAACAAAGAAATATAATTAAGAGCAAACAACAAAAACAAAAAGAGTTATTACAAAATTAAACCGCTTGTGTAAGGCACGCCGGTCTTCCAGATCCAATCATGCTCGAGAAATAAACCAGTGATCGTGAAATTAGCTGCATCGGTCGAATTAATCACGTGATAACCGGGCCATGTAACTCGGTTTGTAGTGTTTGAACCCGGTCCAGTATTATTATACTCTGCATAGTACAACGTACTCAACGCGAAATCGCCGTTCCATCCTCTCCAACCAACCGGTTCAACAAAACCATCAATGTACGATTGCATATAAACCGTCCGTGAATACTCTTTCCACGGTCTACCCAAATACGTTCGAACCGTATAGTTACTCGAAGCAAGATCATCCGCTGGTTTAATCGTACAATTGTGAATCGTCGTACCCGTGTTCTGATTCGGATCAGACCGGCCTTGCGCGGTTATGGCATTGAACTGGTTCGGCATCGGTTTCCTCGGGTATAAATTGCAGTTTTGAAGCACTACTGCCGCGTTACCGAATATAAAATCTACCGTTCCATAAACATCACATTCTCTATAGAACTGTCTTAGAGAATGCGTGTAGAGTGTATCTTGATAAGCCTCAAAACTACAACTATAGAAGACCGAGAAATCTGCGCCGCTTCGTAATGCAACCGCCTGGTGCTTCTCCGGTCCGGCCGTGTTCCGGAAAGTTATGTTCACCGCAACGAAGTTTGGTGCTGTCACAGCTGAAATAAAAACCAATCACACGATTAGTAATTATCAAATGAACCAAAAATATTATATACTATAGTGGATGTTTCTTTCCACTATATAATAAAAATAAATAAAACGTGAAATGGTTAGTACACTCAGTATTATTAATGCATGTGTCTCCTATTCACCACTTTCAATTAACTTTCTGACCGATAATTGTAAATGCAATAATTAAAGTGAACTATCAACGTACTCGAGAAATTAAATATTGTTAGAAAAATGTATTGTTTAAGATCTCGAGACTTTTTAGACCCATTATGATTGATAACATGTGATGTGTTACGTACCAAATGTGGCGGAGTTGAAAGTCGTCCAACCGTCAACGACGCTTCTGTTTCCGGTGACCACCGTTTGATTTATCCCGTCTCCGATCATCATCAAATACCTTTTGTTCTTTGCGATCGAGACGTATTCTTCGTAGATTCCCGCCGACACGTAGATCAAGAAGAAACCGCCGCTTCCGTCGGTGTTATTCGGCGCCGCCGCGACGGCCGCCGTAATGTTGGAGAAATTTCCAGTACCGTCTTGACACACGGTGACGATATCGCTTATCAGAACCATGCTTCCGTCGTCTCCGTCGTCACTGTCGGCGAGTTTTCTCCTGCGTAGTGACTCGTAAACGGCTTTTGTTTTTTCCGTCATTTTTAACGGTAGAGCTCCGTTACGGAACAGACGGAACGGTTTAGTGTGGGTGGATGATCCGGATCTCGGTTGGGCCCAAGCAAACCCGGCCCGTTTCTTCTTCTTCGGGACCCATCCTTTGGTGAATAGAGCGAGCGAGACGCTAAAGAGCTTCGTATCGTTAACGAGAGGCAAAGCGACGCCGTTTCGTACTGTCCACGTGGCGGAAGATGAAGCGGCGGTGGTAAGTCCCTCAAGACACGTCTGCTCGTTAGTCAACGCCGCGGAGAGAAGCGTTTGGACGGCGTCAGCTTTTGGAAACGACAGCGTTTGGAATGAGGTTGATTTTGCTGACGTGTCGTTAACGGTTTCAAACGACGTTAAGAGATAATCCATTGTTAAACCGGCGAGGAAACGGCAATCTTGGAGCGCTCTTGTAACGGCGGGTTGAGATAAATGAGCGTTGCGTTTTAAGTATCTATCAATGGTACGGATGAATTTTCGCGATTGCGATAGCGATTTGCGGATGGAGAAGCGGCCGTATTGTTGAACATTGCCTTGGCTATGTGGGAAAACGGATTTGCAATATTTTGGATCCGGCGTCGTTTTGCAGATTGTAGAAGAGTTTGATAGAGTTTGAGAAGAAGAAAGGAGAAGTGATTGAAAAAAGAATGATAGTGTGATTAGAAAAAGTATTGGAGGTTCCATTTTGTTACTGAAAATTTTATGTGAATAAAAACTTTAGGTTTAAGTGGTTTATATAGTGTGTTTGATGATAAGTGAAGATGAGGTGGGTCCAATTTATATGAATAGTATATTATCATATTTTGCGTATCATAAATAGTAACTATGATATTGTATGCGATTATTTTATTTAGTCAACTCGTTTGGGAGTCTTGAAAACGCGTAGGTTGTTGCGAGATTTTAATTTAATATTCATCGCATTCATCGTATTCATCGTCTACTATGTATGCAGATTCAAATATTCACCATATATTCATCTAGCTGTTTAAAGCATAACCATATATATATATGTTCATTCGATCTTATTAAACCTTCACAG